GCGCGAATGTGGTTTCGGAGCACGGGGGAAGGAGCTTAATAGAAGACGCAAAACGGATCCGGTGTGTGCGTGTGTGCGCGCACGATGTACCAAAGAAAAACCTGAACAAGATTCAGAAATAAGATGATCGTGAAGATCGAGCGAGTGGGACGACAAGAAATTACGTCACCTCATATGGATACATGCGTACGACCGTACAGACATGCGTAAGCAAACAGAAAATAGTTCTGAAACACATCAAAGGTGAAAACAAACCTCATCAGAGTGCTGTGATTTAAAACAGGTTGTGAATGACGTGGGTTACATATCACAGCTGGAACGACACCATAGAAACTGTGCAAGCTAGACGGGAGAAGAGTAGGGAGGTGTGTGCCACAGGACGATCAGTTTTGTTTTATTCTTCGAAAGAAATGAATGGTTGACGCGGGCAGTGTGAGAGACAAAAAAAAAGACAAACCGGAAAAAATTCAAAGTCAAAGTAAGTACAACGAAACAGAGAATGGATCAGTNATGAACACAGATTCTTCTGAGAAAACCTCGCCTGGTCTGGATATCCGGGTAAAAAGTGCTCAAATGCACGAGGCATCGGACAGTAGGAGCAACAAACAGTCGCTAGGGACCGTGGGTGGGGTGGAGGAGTGATAAATGAAAGTATAGTCAGGGTGTGTATGTGGGTGGGAGAGATAAAAAAAAGACAATATGGAATTATAGACAAGAATTCAAAGAATGCACTGAATGGATGCAACAGGATGGGGTACGAGAGCGCGTGGGTGGGATGGGAAGATGAGGGTAAGTAGAACAGACGATGGAGTGTACACCAGACCGAGAGAAACCTATGGGATTGCGCGCATTTATGATATGAGGGGATGCACAGACAATGGACAATGCACAAACGGGAGTAGTGTTCACAATCAACCAGGTGGATTATCCAAGACCGGAGGTTGAGGAGGGAGGGGTAATGAGGACCATTTTATATCACTCAGTATTACTCGATTATGCACGGGCAACGGATGAGCCTCAGAGTTGAATACCCATCGATCCAAGGGAAACAGAGTGTCCTCCGAGAAAATCAAATATAAATACTTGAGGGTTTCAGCCAGGAAATACGACTGTTGCACATCGTCCCAATTGTTTTCCAGGGAATTCACATTGACCAAGCCCGAATAACCACTACTGGTGTTCGTATGTGTCTTCAAAGCCTGAGAAAAAGAAAAATCAAATGGGGAAAATAGTACTATGGAAAATGTGCGGGGAACGGCGGAGGAGGATACGGTTAGGAGAGGGAAAACACAGTTCAACGGATTTTAGTGAACCGACTGCCGAAATGATGAACAGACTTTGGACACCATTGTCAATGGACGGATGAGGCTATGCGGTGCGTGAACTGTGTTGAGCTGCTCGGCAATTGAATAAACTCAGTGCGATATGCTTATTGCCACGCTAGTTATATATTTTTTATAAAGACTGGCAGGAATCGGTTCCCGCAATCACGAACACTGCTCAAGATTGGTTGGATTAGGTCAATAGTGTGGTGTACTTTTGAAGTAGGTAGTCTTGATACTGTCTGACTCAGTACCAATCCTAACCTAACGGAGCCTTATGTGGTTCGCCAATCCAAGTCCCGGGATTTGGATTACCGGTTTCCATCGGTGAATACTAGGTTTTCGTGACTATGCGGTTCACTCCGTCTGCCGTTCATCACGCCAAGCGTGTGTATTAAAAAATAGAAAGTGAGGTAACGATTGTTGGTGGCAGCATCGGGCAATAGACAAAAAAATCGTTTGATTTCGCCAGCGCAAGGTATCTGTCACGCTGCGAAAATATTCGCTTCTCTGCCTCTGAGCTGACGGACATAGCCGGTGACAGTTGCGAAACCAGAATCTTTGTGTCTAGGACACTTGGCATAGTTCAGTATTCAAAACAAGTTGTCTCCAATACACTGTCGCGTCTACTGGAAACCACCCGGTTTGGTGACAATGTTTTCAAACCAAGGCAGTTGTACGATACCACCTGTCATGGCTTGGTTCTGTGCTGGACATTGTTTCCAGCATGACTGTTTGGTTTGCTGTATCAGTGTCGGCTTATGATTGGTCTGAACAAGAGTTTTGTCTAGCAAATTGAACAATCGCATTTCTGTAGGCGGCTCTATAAATACTTGTGATTTACTTATCGGTTGAGATTTAGGCGCCGCCTACCAAACATATTCCGCGCCTATGGCTGTTTTCGACTTCCAGGTGTAACTGGAAGAACTTCCGTGGTGGTGATATTTTTCCTTTGTCAATTCTGATCAGCTACTATTCGAAGGACTCCGAATGCAATTGGATAGAAACTCTAAGGGATTTTGCCCAATCCTGAGAATGCTGCACGCCTTTATACCGGTGCATCAATCCCCAAAAACAACACATACAGAGCACAAGAGAAAGTGTGCGCCCGGTGTGAAACAAAGGCCCACTCTCATTTGATGGTAGATAGCTTTGCTTTCGTCCGGTTCAATACCACGCATAACCTAACGGGACCTTATGTGGTTCGCCAATCCAAATCCTGAGGCTTAGGTTGCCTGTTTCCATCACCGAACAGCAGGTCCTTGTGACCATGGGGTTCAACCCGTCTGCTATTCATCACTTTAAGGTGTGTATTAAAAAAAATTATCTAAAATTACCTCTCCTAGTGTAACTCCATCACTGTTGTATCATATGTAATGCTAGTATCTTGACATATGCAGATCATGATCGAGATCATACCGCCGTTAAAAACGGGAACCCACAGATGGTTGAATTACTTCACTGTGTAAAGCTCACCCTGGCTTTCGAGTCAAGATTTATGCATCACCCTATGGTCGGTCTCTGGGGCGTCCTGATAATCCATCGACGACAGACGCAAAAAACTCCCTTCCATACACTTACTTGGAACATGTCCCAAGCCCATTCGCGATAGATCGGGTTTTTGGTAAACCGCCACAAATAGAAATAAGATTCCACGGTTTCCGGCCGGAGTAGATAGGCTTTGTGTGCTTTCTTGATCGGCACTGCTTCAATACTCTTTCCAAACTCGAACGATTCAGGTCCCAGATGGGTGGCGGTACTCTCATAGCTCAATCGGCATGTATCGGTCACTTGCAGACCACGACTGAACCAAGGATCATGCTGTCCGGAGGAGCCCAACACGAGCATACCACCTGGTAAACGAGTAGAATAAATGCAGAGAAATAGGCAATATTAGTTAGTAATCTACTATCATAAAAGCGATTTGTTTTTCTTGCAAAAATTTTGATCATGCAACCAAAGATCGTCAGTCTCGAGGTACGG